CGGCCTCAAGAGCAGGAGGATATTGGGAGGTGATGAGGCTTGTGTTGGGGGGAGAGGCTTGTGGGAAGCCGGTGGTGGCAGTTGGGCTCTGAGGGTTTTTCCTGAGGAGCTGTTTTGTTTGGCGTGTGTAGTTCTAAAAATAAAGTTAGTTTCTTTTGACAAGTGGCTCCTGAATTGTGCCCAGCCAGATTGCGGCATTTTGATAGCTGTATGTTTCCAGATATAACCAGCTTTTTATTTTTTCAATGAGAAGTTTTTCAATGTCACCTGGGTTTATTTTCAAGAGTAAAAATTAGAACCATGTCGTCTATTCTTCTACTTTTAAGATCCACGATTCCACTTCTGGGTTCCAGTTCCCCAAGAGGTGTCCTTACCTGTCCCAAAGTCGGTGGGAGTCAGCCCATGTGGCCTCTCTCAGCAGCACACTCCGTTATTTGGAGGACTTGATTTTTTATTGTGTATCTCATGCTTTTCCTTCTTCCTGGAAATTGCTTTTTGCTTTCTGTTCCTATCAATTTGATTATTATAGATACATTTTCTCTGTGAAATCAAACTGTATTTTCCTCATTGTAACTAGCTTATTGCACTTTGAAAGATGACCTCCAGATTCATCCACACTGTAGCCTTRGACAGGATTTCTTTGCTTCTAAGGCCCAATAATAATACATCATATGGACAGACCCCGTTTTATTTTGTGATTCTCTGTTAGTGGACATTTAGGTGGTTTCTGCTTCCTGTCTATTGTGAATTGTTCCTCTATGCCTGGGGCTTTTCAAGTATTTTATTCAATTCTTTGGGAAATATACCAGGAAATTGAACTGCTGGATCATATTAAAATTCTATAATCAACTTTGGAGGAACTTCCTCACTCTCTTCTTTAACTACGACATTTTAAATTCACATCAACAATGCACAGTTTTCCTCTTTCTCCATATTTTGTAGCCAAAATGTGTAATTCTGTTGTTTTGGTAGTAGCCATGCTGATAAGTGTGAAAGGCCTCTGTGAGTTGGTATATAAAATGCAGCAAGAAAACTCTGAGAGAAGTCTCTCAAAGCATCACCTCACCACCCATGCTAATATCATCGCCCACAGAGCCAAATGTCTTTCAAGGACTCCCAGGGGATTGGATTGTAGAGCTAAGACAGAAAATTCTTCTACTCACATGGAGCATGGTGGACCAGTATTGCACAGCAGGTAAGGAGTGTGATCCTGTGGCTAGCAGTTGTCCTTACCTTCCATTGCGATCGGCCCAAGTGAGACAAGCTTGGGTGGAGGGGTGGGGATTGGCCAACCCAGGAGGCAGGCAGGCAGTGGGTGTCTTCTCTGTCCACCTGTCAGCTCATTCCCATTGTCTTCTCCAGGAGGGGCCATGAGCAGAACAGTCACAGGAGCTGTCAACATCTCTGACGCTCACTGCCTCCTGACTTCCAGGATCTAGCTGGGGTCCTTTCATCATCTTCTTGGCCTCATTGTGGTATAAAGCCCCCAGCTGATACTTACTGCAAGGCTTCCACTTACTGCAAGAATGTTGGAAACTTTTCTCTGTGGTAAATTGCACCTCCAAAGAAAGACTGTTCACAGTAAGACCAGCTAAAGAAGTGGTGGAGCAGTTGTTTCCCCCAAGAAAATTCTCCAACSATGGAGGTATTTATTAAACTATGTTTTAAGTTCTTTATGTGGTGAAGAAGGTGGGATAAAAGAGGTTGAGAGAGAGAGGAAATGTCTTGTTCAGAAGGAGCAATGGAAAGAGGTGGGTACACACATGCAGAGGGGATTGAAGAGGAGTCTTCTTGTGCACCTGCTCCCCCGTGGTCAAAGCCCGATACTTTGCATCCCAGGTACCCTAGTCTATCCTCCCAATGTCAGAACACACCTGGGCCTCTGAACCAAGACAAAGRACAAAGACATAAACATAGAGAAGCACAGAGCCAAACTGTGACTCATTTGCAGAGACACCTTATGGTCCATATGGAAGGCAGGGCAGAGTTGCCGAGGGTTGTTGTCTTGGGCTCTATCCCAGTTGGAATGGAGGCAGGCGTTGGGATTGACACTGATGGATGGTATCAACCCTCAACAGGAAGGAGGGCTGCAAGCCAGGCTTTGTGACCTGCCACATGCTTCTGTGGGCAGGACCTGTGTGATTGACTAGGTATAAATAGCCCCGGACTCCACAGGCTGCACAGGCTCCTGGGGTGAATACAAATCTCTCATCCTTTGTTAAAGCTCAAAGCAAAGAAARCACCATGAGACTGTCTGTGTGTGTCCTGCTGGTCACTCTGGCCCTTTGCTGCAAACAAGGTGAGTCTCCATGGTGGTCAGGCTAGCACCAGCCCCTGGTGAGCACCTGTCTCTGAACACTAGATACAGCTATTGGAGTAGGTGGGGTAAGGAGGAGATCTGAACCACAGCAATGTGCAGAGTTCTTCTGTTTGTGAATTGACCGTTCAAAACTCAGGGCTCCTTTCATTAACTCCTCAACACCTAGAAACTTCTAGAGAAAGTTACTCCAGGCAAATGTTAGGAATTAGAGGCAGACACTCCCCCTTTCCCTGTGATCTGTACTCGGAACACTGCAGAATATCATGAGAGATCTRAGTGGGAATTTAGGCCCTGTCACTTACCAGCCTTCGACCCCCGGCCAGTGCCCACCCTCTCCAAAATGTAGGTGTGTTTATAGAAACCAACCTGAATAGCTAGGAAGATGGGCTGAGATACTCCACGTCAAGAGTGCCCCTATAGTGCCCCTATATAGCCAAGTCTGTAATCATTAGGTCTGYTCCTCAGAGGCTTTTAGGTGCCACTTGAGCCCACAGCTTAGCCCCTGAATGCAGATGCATGAAATGTCCCTGGTAGACAGATGTGTGGAGGAATCCCAGTCCAAGAAGAAAGAGCCACTGCTCTCTCAACCTCTGAATAATAAGCCTAAAAATGGGCTCTGAGATCAAACGGTGCTTAACGTGACCAGGAGCACCTCTAGCTTTCTCGGGGTCCAGCCCGCAGTGTGGCAGCACTGGAGCCGTCACTCAGCTATGGTTCCTGGGATGCAGAGGTACCTGTAGCCATTCTGCCAGTGGCACTTCCCATCGACTCCTCCCCGGAGTGCTGAGGCAGGCTCTCTCYATCCTTCTCTTTTCTGTCACCTGCTGATCCTCCTCTTGTTTCTTTGCCTTGTCTCAGATCCTACCCTCGCCAAATTCTCCCCATATTGTGCTGTCTGATAGGGGGTCACAAGAAGCCTGGCAGAGCACCTCCTGAGTACAAGGTGGTTGCAAAAATCCTTGGGGGTATGTGGAACTCAGACCAGAAAAACAGRTTCCTCCAGACTTCCAAGAGTCCCCCACACCCTCTGCATTCCGGACATCACTGCAGAACTGGGGACAATCACTAGTTTTTTGCTTTTTAAGATGAAATGGATGATCTCTCTTATGATTTCAGCTTTTTAACATTAATCGTGCCCAATAGCACAATTAAATTCATCCAACACAATCTCCAAATATCACCTTTCACATTTTAACAATTTTATTTTTTTTAAATTTTTTAATATTTATTTTTTAGTTTTCGGCGGACACAACATCTTTGTTTGTATGTGGTGCTGAGGATCGAACCCGGGCCGCACRCATGCCAGGCGAGCAYGCTACCACTTGAGCCACATCCCCAGCCCCACATTTTAACAATTTTAATTACTCTTCTCCAGTTTTCTGATCTTTGATAAGATTCTGACTTCCCCATGCACCTCAAATTGTATGATTCAAAAACTCTCCTTGTGCAATATCCAAGGGTCATAATGTGACACTTGACCTGGTCAACGACATTYAATCATTTCATCCAGAAAGGGTATTTCAGCAAAGCAGAGACACTATGTTGACTGGGTATGCCTTAAGAAAAACCTATAAAATTGAGTGGACAGGCAGCTGGGTGTCTAGTCTTGGCCCTGCTATTGCTCTGTGATCTTGGGGAAATCATTTTGGAAGTCTTAACACTGTCAACAACACATTTATGGGATGGAAACTCCAAACCCTAGGGATCATGTCTTGATGAACATCAGGGAGTTCTGGGAAAAGTCCTGATTGTGCTTTCATAATTTTTTTTTTTTCTTTTGTGCCCCAGCCAATGGACTGGCATGTCCCAGCCTTGTTACTGAAACTTTACAGTTCTTGGATTTGGCACCAGCTTTGTTCAGGCTCTCGCTCCAGAAGTTCAATCCACCTTCCGAAAACGTGGATGCAAAGCTGAAGGTGAAGGAATGCACCGACCAGATGTCCGCTTCGGACAGAAACCAAATTAAAATAGTACTGGTAAGGTCATTCTTTTACGCCTAGAGGCTTTTCATCCTCACGCTTCCAGGAATGATTCCCTCCTCCGTGGAGGAGACACTGGAGTTGGGGGGTACACGCGCCTTGCCGGCCTTTTTGTTGAGAAAGTTTCCTGGGCCACAGGAAAGATGCCAGCAGATCACTTGCTGAATGACGATCCCCTGCACCCAGCACTGTGGGAAGTTCCCTCCTTCCTGGATACCTGTCACAAAGGGTCACAAAGAATGACTCTCCTGTGACCACTGTGCCCAGTAGAGGCTCATGACTTTCACCTGGCACAGGGTGTCCTGAGGAGAAAGACCATCTAGGACCATCTGGTTCCCAGGCAGGAAGTTTCAGGGTCAAGTCTCGGTGCTTCTCTCCTCTGAGGGAGAGTTCTAATCACCCCCTGGGTCACAGTCACATGGACTGTGCTATGGAGAGTTTGGGTATATACAGGAGCCGGGGACAAAGCTAGAAGTGACCACTGRGTTTCTTTGTCCGCTTGGCCAGATCTCCTGGGGCCAGGCCTGGCGTCACCTGACAGCAGTGTGGACCTGCGTGCCCACCCAGCCCTTTTCTGGGTCTCAGTTATGGGAGCCAAGTTGGAGGGAAAGTAGAATCCCACCCTTCCCTTCCACCTTCCACAGAGACTTGAGCCACACTCTTGGGTCACCTCTGGGTATATGTGTCTGACTCTGAGAGGTTATCGACTACTGTGCACAGGTTGTTGAAAGTCCACCACAACTGTGGGCCTCGTTCTCCCCAACCCTCTCTCTCTGGTTGCCTTCTGCCCTTGAAAAGTGTTTTGGCTGGTAACCTCCAGGTTCCCCTTGGTGTGCTAACATGTCACCTCAGGAGCAGTACAGACGATCTCACCTTTCCCTTTTCTCTCTTTGGTTCAATTGCAGGGAGAAATTCTCCTCAAGAAGTGTACTCTGTGAAGCATAAAATATATTCCTGGTTCCACTGTCTTTCAAGGATACCCTGATCTTTGCTGTAAAATGTAGAGGTTTCAACGTCTTGCTTCAATAAATCACCAGCTCTGCACTTCTCGACTTGTCTTTTTATTACCCTTCAACCTTGGGTCTTGTATGAGAGGGTCTTAATAAAGAACTTGTGTGTTACTTTTGGTAATAATCCATTCACATGCAATCCCTGTGGCCAACGTCTGCCTGAGCATCGGGCATCACTAAAGAAGATGTTTGTTCTGGAAACATCCTGTATTACCGTGCACGTTGCCTATTCCTTTGGCCATGAGTTAAATGAAGGGTCACAAAGAATGACTCTCCTGGGACCACTGTGCTCAGTAGAGGCTCATGACTTTCACCTGTCACATGTCATCAACCTCTGAGGAGGCTCCTGTCCTCCAATACCACCACACCCAATCCATCATAAAACCTGTGATGAGGATGTAATGCCAGATTCGTGGGGCCCCAATAGACCTCCAGGAGCCAAATCCGATGCCATCACACAAGAGTCTTTATTGCAAAGCTTAAGCCTGGACTCACAACCGTTCCCGACGCAGCAGTCCCAGGGAGTGAGTCCTGGTCCTTTGTTATAGGTTTTGGGGGTACTTTATGCGTCACAACATCACACAGCAAATCATTCCACACCGTGGGAAAATCAAACAACAACTCTTAACATTGATGAGCACACTCACTGGTGGGAACAAGTTGGGTAGGGGTGATTGGTTAGTACAAGAGGGGGTTCCTTTGAATTGATTGGTTTAAGCCACGAGGGGAGTACGTGCTGAACTACAGGGTTTCCCATCACGTTAGCAACCACCATAAACTACTGGGGGGTCATCTGGCATCGCAGGTATTTTCCCTGTCTCATGCTGATTGGTGGTTGCTAGGGGGGTTGCTATGGGTCCTCACCTAGCCTAAATGAGTCAGGGACACCTGGCGTGGCAGATCTCTCCTGTTATTTACAGACAAACAACTCAGCAGGGTGGGTATGTGCTTAGGAGTGCTCTGTGGGTTTTTCCAAGGACAAGGGTCACGCCCCCTTCCTTGGGACAGGCCTTAAGGTAGAAGCTGGTTTCTCAAAAATGGAGTCACATTAGTTTCTCAAGGACAACATTTGGAAGCAAAACTCCAGTGTTTCATGAGCTTCATAATGGGAAACCCTCAATGGCTCCCAGTTTTCAGGACATAGAGCTCAATTTTTAACATTAAGAAATCATATGATTTCTGGCTTTTCCCCCCTTTCTTTCTTTTTATTTATTTATTTTTTTTTTTTAGATATAGATGGACACAACACAATGCCTTTATTTGTATGTGGTGCCGAGGATCGAACCTAACTAGGGTCCGCCCATGCTAGGCGAGGCTCTACCGCTGAGCCACAATCCCAGCCCCCCACCTTTCTTTCTCTCCATCTTTTCTAGCTAATCGACATGATGTCCTACTGAGTTAGGGACTAGGAAAAAAGAGGAAAGAGAAAAAAGAGAAGAGAAAGGTCTTCAATGACTCTTCCTGCTTTTCACTGACCCAGGTCCTCTGGGTCTGTGGGTGCCTCAGCCTCATGGGACCCTTTAGAGAATTCTCCAGAAAGTTCACCTGAGATGTTGAATTCTTTTTGTGGTTCGCCATTTATCAAAGAAAAACAAAGAGCATTAGGGAAAGCAAAATTTGATAGCTGGCCACAATATTAAAAGAGGTGGAAGAAAATTAAAATAGAGCAACTGATAAAGTTTATCTGCAGTGACAAACGGGAGGGGGAAAAAACACATAAGTGAACAGAGGTATGAGAGAAGGTGAGCCCTTGATGTTGAGTGAACAGAATTGCAAATTGAGAAATGTTATAAGTGGACCTAAATGGGAAACTCTGGAGGGAGCTCAGAAGACTAGAGTGCTGGGGAAAATAAAGTAAAATAAAAGGCAGGCTCCTGAGGTTTCAGAGGAGGAGAAGGACTCTATGGGCATCGGACCAGAATCCATTCATGTTGTTCTCTAGCTAAGTGGCTTCCTGCATTTTGCCTGTGTCTTGAGACTTTCTGTGGGGGCTGAATTTAAAGGTGATGGACTTTTAATCTGGCAGAAAAAAATTCTAGGGAGCACGTAGGCAGGCAGTGGCATGGGTCCGTTTGCAGCCTTTAGTCAAGTTTATTGTGATCATCAAGAGAAGAAAGCAGAGCAGAAAGATAAAGAAAAAAAAATTGGCAGTTGGCCAGAAAACTGTGAGTAAAACAGGATGTGAGAAATGTGTGGTCGTTGAAGACATCTGATCACTAAAGGAATGCTAAAGACTTTACCCAGAGACAAGAGGACAGACATTTCAAGGGCATCTCAGGAATTGGCAGATCACACCCATCTCAGGGGTCACCTACTTGTGAAGCCAGATTTAAAGTTAGGTATTCAGTGTAGTTAGGTAAATCAGGTCTAATATGGAGTAAGATCCAAAATGGAGGCCATGTGGAGAATGAATTCCGGGGAACGCAGGACAACTCTTGGAATGTTAATGAAGTTGGGAAACGCAGGACAACTCATGGAAGGTTAATGTCCCCAAGGCCCAGAGCCCATCCCAAAGAAGTGTAAATGAAACAGCTCCCAGCAAACTTGAAGATGCTGACTCAAAAGTCCTTCCTGCCCAGGTAACTTCTTTGGCCCACCTGTGTCCCACCCTTTGGGCCTTCCCACCTACATCCCATCACTGAAAGAACTATAAAAAGGGAACACATTCGCCCTTCAATGGATTCCACCTCTTGGGTCCCCTTCTTCCTCCGGGAGAAGTCTTTTCTGCTGTCCTTTAATAAAGCCTCTACTTTCCACTCTGACCTGGCCTCGGCGTGCTTCTCTGGTGTTATTCTTCAACATCGGGGAAGCAAGGACTCGTCACCAGTCAACAGCGGTAACACTTGCACAGGGGGTCCTAGGAAGTGGGGTCACCAGGCTCATCCACTCAGCCACTCAGAGGCTGCTGCAGCCAGGGTCCCCGTGGGCTTGGCTGCTGCTTGAGAGGTGGCAGACGTTGGAGGCAACAGGTGGGGCTGGTTCTGCAGGAGAGCAGGTGGGGAGTTAGGTGCTCATGGAGGCTTCCAGCAAAATTTCAAAGGGAGGCCTGAAGGCTGGGCAAAGCGCAGCAGGATCAGAGTCCTCGTGGGGCTGCCCATAGGGTGATGCCTGGAGGTGTGAGCAGGAAGCCAGAGCCGCAGTGGAGACCCCAAGATGAAGAGCTGCCAGCGCCTCGGAGCCTAGCTGAGGAGAGCTGCAGGAACCGAGCAGGGACGGGCCGAGAGCTGGCCACGTGGGCTGAGCAGGAAAGTCAGGCTCAGAGCCACAGCAGCCCCCTGGAAAGAACAGCATGTGCCATGGGCCTGGGGCTCTGCATGGAGGGCAGGAGTTGCTGGCCGTGCTGGATTCCAGCCCTTCTTTGTAAGCCTGGTTTCTCCTTGTGGGATGGAGATGTTCACCACGTGCCTTTACATACTGGGCACATGTAACTGCTTTTGATTTTTTACAGGGAATCATGCTGAGTTTGTCTTGAGTCTCAGAGGAGACTTGGACTTGGACTTTTAGACATTGCTGGAAGGGTTAATACCGTGGGGACTCTTGGAAACAGGCTGCATGTGTTTTTCATTGTGAGATGGGCATGAGCTTTTGGGTTCAGGGGCAAAATGCTAGCGTTGGATGTGGGGTGTCTCCTCAAAGCTCGTGTGTGAGAAAAAACAAGAGGATTTAGAGGTGCAATGATGGGGTATGAGAACCTTCATCTAATCAGTGCATCAGTCCCCTGAGAGGGATCACCCGGGTGAAACTGTAGGCAGGCAGCATGTGGCTGAAGAAGCTGGATTTGCGGGGGAGGATCATGCCTTTGAAGGGAAGACTGTAATCACCCCCTGATATAATCAGCTTTTTTTTTTTTTGCTGCTGTATAAAAAGTCTTGACGAGAAAAATTTTAACTTAAGAAAAGTCTATTTGAAGGCTCACAGTGTCAGAGGTGTCTGTCCATAGGTGGTCGAACTCTTGATGCTAGTTTCTGATTTAGGCAATGTTTACATTGCTGCATCCAGAAGAGCTGACAAGTAGAATTAGAGGAGAAAAAAAAAAGGCCGAATGTTCTCTCTGACATGTGGCTGCTGATTCATGGTGGGGGGGGG